CAGGCTGGCATTTGCAGGGCACTCTGGCTTTCAGAATGCATAAGGATGCCTCACTACACCCATCTGCTGGGTCCCATTTTATTATTATTATTATTATTATTATTATTATTTGTTTTTTAGATAAAGAAACTAAAACTCAGGAGGGTGAAGGGACTTACTTAAGGTTCATGACAATACCAGTGGAAGCTCGAGGTCAAACCCAAATTTAATGATGTTAAAGCCCCATGTCATTTTATGCTGCCCCTTAATTAAGAAATGTCCACAGGAAGAATCTTGCTTGCATTTACTATTATGTCATTTTAAGATATGTGTGCTTGACAAAATCTTTCATGAGTTATAACCCAAAGGATGCTTTATCATCATCATCACTCCCAAACTGCCTATTCAGAACTTCCTTCAGTTCCCAGAAAAATGTTGAAACATTCTTTAATGCATTGTCGAAACCTTATTCCATTTAAAATGCTGTCCAATTTTACTTTCTCAGAGCCCCAGAAGTATAGTAAATTACCAGGTATGTGCCTCAATTCAACCATCATTCTTTTTTCATGGACCATTTTATTATTATTATTATTATTATTATTATTATATCATTATTATTATTATTATTATTAGCCATGACTATTTTTTAAAATCTTTATTGTTGAAAGTATTACATATATCCTCCTTTTCCCCCCATTGACCCCTTCCAGTTCTCTCCTGCCCCCCACCCCAGCCCTTCACCCTATTGACTCTGTCCATGGGTTATGCATATATGCATGCAAGTTCTTTGGTTGATGTCTTCCTACTCACCCAATCTCTCATGGACCATTTTAATTCCTCTGAATGAATGAGTGAGTCTGAGATTTCCCAGACTTTTCATGTTATAATTATGTCTTCATAAGCCTCTCTGATTGACTTCATGATCTGGCTTTTTACTGACCTTGCTGCCTATTCTTACCCATGTTCCTTTCCTCATTGACTTCACCTCTACTGAGTCTGAGAACTCTCCTCAGATGTGAATCAGGTAGACCACCTTCACTTGTGTACCCTGCTCACCACCTTCTTCAATCCTGTCGCTGAAAAGATGATCTGCAGATATTAACTTGCAGACTCTGATCTACCTCGTTCAAGCCTGTAGCCATTTCACACAGCCACTCAGATGTTACAGGTACTGGAAAGATCAGGAAATAATTACTTGTTATCCGTTATAATACATTTCTTCCCCTCTCAATTGGACATTAACGCCAATTCATTGAATAAGCTTTAGGTTTTGAGATTTTCACAGCATAAAGCCCATCACTGACAGAGTAATGAAGGAAATGTTCCACAAGTTAATATATAGTTGAGAAAAGAGGGCATTCATATTCGATTTCTTTATTTAATTCAGGGCCTTAATTATTAGTGATTATTTGTACCTTTATATTTTGGCAAGTACACATGATTAAACTCTTTATAAATTCAGAAAATGAATAATGTCTTAAAATCAAGGAAAGTCCTAAGGCATCAGAGAGATTGTTTTTTTTCAGTATCATGAAGGAAAATGGTTGCCAGCAAGCAGTGTGGCCAGGTTATCCAAGGAGACAACTGTCTCTGCTCCCCAGGGACCAGCTTCGGAAGCTTCCTTGTTGTCCAGAGCTGCTTCACTGATTCACTGTACAGGCTGGCTTTCCCTGCAGCAGTCAGCATTTAAAAATTTGTCTTCAGCACTGCTTGTTAGCAGGCAGCTTCAGTTGGAAAAAGTAATTTCATTTTCATATTTGCTCATTTCATTCATTCACTCAATCAACAGACCATCAATCTCCTATCATATACCAAGAACTGTGTTTGGTTCTGGGGATGATAAGATAATGGTTCCTTCTAGCACTTGAAGAGCTTACAGACTAGTGATAGAGGAAGATGCACCAATAACTCAATAAAAAATAGTGCTTTGACTTTATTTGTATTATTGGAATTTTATAAATCCCTTCATATACACTAAGTGCTCACATAACCATGCTGGTATGTTCTGCAACTTTTAAGTGAAATGATGTAAAACAAAACCAATTTTACAATATAGATTAATTAACAAGACAAGAGTTAAGTTCCTGTGCACATTATAACTCAACAAAATGATGTTGAATTTGAGGACCTTTGGTACTACATCATTAAAAATTGAAATACACCTTTAAGAAAGGGCTAGTGATATGAGAAATCCACATGAATGTGTAAGTTATTTAGAGAGTTAACACTGAAGATTTGCATTCTGAAAGCAGCTTTGAACCTTAGATGCAGATGAACTTTGTTTTAGTTGCTTATAAAATTTATGCAGAGGTATCTTCTAAGAGGGGTCAGTAACTTGGGGAGGGGAGTGCTGCAAATTAAGATCCTACCTTGGTGGCAGGTCCATTTTTTCTGTTCTTCAGGTTATAGTCTGAAACAGGAACTACAGGATGGGATGACTAAAACAATTTACTGCCTTTGGGTACCCATAACCCTGTAATTGCCATATGCATGGCTTTCTAAGTTGTTCCATCATCACTTTCACCACCAGAGTTCAGTGCAACTTTTCAGTTAGCCAGGGCCCCTAGAAATGGTGCCGAAAAGTACTGTGGCTTAAAAAATAATACTTATAGTTTACTATGAACTTATTGCTTAAAATGTATCCTATTTAATATTCACAATCACTATGAAATTGATAAATTTCAGGTGTATTAAAAATAAGTCTCTGTGTCAGATTTGTGATATTCGTAGGTCTATGTCTTTTGTCTTTTGGTTCATCTTGGCATCAGACAGGGCAGTTCAACATGAGGCCCTTGCCCTAAACAGCTCCCAGTGCTAACTAAGTACTGGCAATTTACTACACTGTTTTCAGTGATCGTTCAAAAGGAATCAGTAAGGTAAACTTTGTGGATTTTCTTTGACTAATGAGACTCCTTTCAACATTGAAATTCTAGACTTTAGAGACTAGAATAGACCTGGGTTGTGGGGAGGAGATGTGAGAGACCTGTAAGTGGAAGTATCTGAATATTGGCCTGCCACCTAGAATCCTATCTAATAATAGACAAACATGGTAATTGACCGTACCTTCGCTACGCCGCCCATTGGCTAATCAGCAGGATATGCAAACTAACCACCAACAAAGATGGAGGCTAATTTGCATACTGCAGGCAGGGTGGGACAGTGTGAGCCGCCAGTGCAAGCCGCCATCCCGACCCCCCTGTGCGACCCCAGAAGCTGCCTGCCTGCCGCCCATGTTTGGATCCGATCCTGGGCCCCAGGCCGGCCTCAGGAGCCCCAGATGCCACTTGCCTGCTGCCCATCATTGGATCTGATCCCTGGTCACTGGCCGGCCCCAGAACCCCAGAAGCCACCTGGTATGGCAGTAACACTATCAGTTAGCACTCTGAAAGTCAGTGGCATAAATGCACCAATTAAAAGACAGATTATGAGGGTGAATCAAAAACAAAACCCACTTTACATATAAAGACACATATAGATTAAAAGTAAATGAATTAAGCTGCAGCCTGTTTTTCTCAGTGGATAAAGCATTAGCCTGTGGACTAAAGGGTCCGAGGTTTGATTCCAGTCAAGGGCATGTACCTCAGTTGCTGGCTTGATCCCCAGTCCCTATCAGAGCATGTGCAGGAGGCAACCAATCAATCTGTCTCTCCCTTTCCCTTCACTCTCTCTCAAATTCAATGGAAAAATATCCTTGGGTGAAGATTAACAAAAACAAAGTAAATGGATTAAGTAACATTAAAGAGATTATAAGAAAAATATATTCCAAACTTTGTTAGTTGTATAATGGTTATGTTTAAATTATTAACACCTACGAAATTGGGTGAAGGGTGCATATAATATGCTGTAGTATTTTATAGTTTTTTTTACATGTATGAGATTATTTCATATTAAAATATTAAAAAATTAAAAATTAATAAAATATTAATTGAAATGTATCTGCATTACATGAAAAATCTCCTAATTGCTTCTAGCATAATTTATTAAATTGTGCTAAAGTTTACAAGGGTTCAATTAAAAAATATCTTAAAAATATATAATATTGCAGTTATAAGCACTTATCTGAAAATAAAAATATAAAGAAGTGAATTTAAAGAAGGGATTAGCCAAAGAAAATATATACACAACCCATGGACACAGACAACAGTATGGTGATGGCCAGAGAGAAGTGGGGGGCAAGAGCTGGGTAGAGGGGGGGAAAGGGGGAGAATAGGGACATCCTATATAATAATAATAAAAGGCTAATATGCACATTGACTGAACAGCAGAATGATCGCATGCTATGATGCGCACTGGCCACCAGGGAGCAGATGCTCAATGCAGGAGCTGCGCCCTGGTGGGCAGTGCACTTCCATATGGGGAGTGCCACTCAGTCAGAGCTGGCTCATGGTTGGCCAGTGCAGAGGTGGTGGCAGGAGCCTCTCCCACCTCTGTGGCAGCACTAAGAATGTCCAACTAACGGTTTAGACCCAATCCCTTGGGGGCCTAAGCCTTTAGTCGGACATCCCCCGAGGGCTCCCTGGCTGCCAGAAGGATGTCTGACTGCAAGCTTAGGCCTGATCCCCCGGGAAGTGGGCCTAAGTCGACAGGTGGACATCCCCCAAGGGGTCTTGGACTGCAAATGGGCGCAGGCCGGTCTGAGGGACCCTCCCCCCCCCTGAGTGCACAAATTTTTGTGCACCTGGCCTTTAGTTAATAATTTCATAGACTTGGGTGATGGTGTCCATAATTTTCTCCAGTATTTGTATGGTACTTATAAAAATAGTTGTTCATATCTAGTACTTCATCTGCAAGTCTTACTTGATTTTGAAGCTACAGGACACCTCAACTGACAGCTGAGATTGTTGGAACTTAGTTTTTATTTCTAATAACAAAACATTTGAAGTCTACATTGAGACTCTAGGAAGGACCTTTACTTCAAAATCCTTACAGCTTCAGGATCTTTCTGACCTTGAAGAAAGGGAAAATGAAGGTATTGTGGTTGCATCACTTCAGAAGCAAAGCTGAAGTTCTGTGCTTTACAGGTGGTGTCATCCTGAGTGCAGGAGTCTGGGAGTTGGCATGGCCGAGGAGCGTTTGGGTAAGCTGGAGGAGGGTCTGTTTCTGGTGTGTGTTGGGGTAGTGGGAACCTCTCATTTTTTCTTTCGTTTTAAAACTCATCTTTTCAAATACATCATTAAGCCCTCCCCTTGTTAAACTACTAACTCTCTGAGCAGAATTTTTCTGCCTTACAACACAGGTATTTTGCTTGTTTTTGTTTTTTAATTTTAGGCAATACCTGACAGAACCTTTAACTTTAAAATTTTAGAAGTGACTTCTTGCTAGGATGCTTAGGAGGAGGGAAATTTTGGTTAAGATTTTGCTTCAAATAATGATCTCGTGTAGCCTTCCATTAAAATTATCTTCCAAAGATTTAAATAATCTCTCATGAAAATATTCAATCATTTGCCTCTTATAGAGGGGCTTGAGGAGAAAGAGTCAAATGTAAATAGGATATTCTAATTAGTCCTGAGTTTTTTCCTAAAATCTATAGCACTTTGGCTTAGGGTTTTAAGTCAGAGGCAGGGCTGTTTGTGGATGGAGTGGATTAACTGCTGCCCTGGCCTGCTTGGGTTGCATAAGTTCCTCCCTCCGCCCTCCCCCACCCCCTGCAATACCCTAGAGATCTCTTGGCATCAAAGGGTCAGGAGGGGGACACCTTTGGGGCCTCCCCTGCCTTCCTCTCCAAGCTGGAAAGGGAGACAAGGAGGGAGGCCCTGATGAGATATATGCCACAGTACAGAGCCGCCTGGGCTACCTATAGTACCCCCCACACCCCCATCCTATCCCAACCTCACTGGGCTCCCCATAGCGGCCCTTCATGGGCTCAGTCTCTTCCATGCTCCTTGGAGACATAGCTCCCTTGACTGACCATGCTCCACCCATTGTTGGTTCTGGTCACACAGCCAGAGGGAAGAAAAGGCTGAAGGCAATCCAGAGGGGCCTCAACAATTCCGATGGGCCTTCTCCCTGCACCCATTTCCGCAGGCCTGCACCTCCTGCCTGGCCCCAGCACCTCCCCACTCAGCTCTCCCTTCTTCTTTGGCTGCACTCCCATCAGAGGGGACAGTAGGGGCAGAACACTCAAGCAGCCCCCAGCTCCAGCTCTGTGCCCCACATGGTAGGTGCCCAGGTGCTGGACCCGCGGGGAGGGGTGCTCTGCTCCAGGCACCTAGGCAACCGCCAGGGCAAGTGGGCTATTGCCCAGGCTGAGGTGGTGCCCAAGATGGAGCTGAGCTTTTCCAAGGCGGGTGGTAGCCAGAAGCCCCCCAACCCCACCCCCATCCCCAGCCCCCATCAGGTAAATGTGTATGTGTGGATATGCTTTGGAAGTAAAAATTTTCTAGGGGTGGTTTAACATATACCAGAAGCACATAAGGAAATGTGATAGGTGGATTTGAATCAAGGGAAGTTATTCTGATACTAGTAGCCCATCCTGTGATATCGCGCACAGTAGGCCGTCCACTGCTTCTGCGGGAGCCGGAGGGGAACCGAAGTGCACCGCTGGGAGCTGCACTGCTTCCAGGGGAGGCTGAAGCGAGCCTCTGGTGCCCATGGGAGCTGAGAGGGACCCAGGCCAACTCCGCGGGAGGCCAGAGGGAGCAGCGCTTGTTCCACAGGCTACGGGCCCACCGTCTCCTCTCCGGGCCTATGCTCTGTTGCGGAGGCTGCGAGCCAGCCCCCCTGTCCTTGTCCATGTCCGCTCTGGCTCCAGGGGGCCGGCCAGAGCCAGGGCACGGTGGCTCACCAGCCCACCTGTCTCTGTCTCCTCTATGGGCCTCACCTGCGCAAAACCTCCTCCTGAATGGTCGTGACCCCTTATGGCATCCTGGCCTAATTTGCATATTTCCTTTTTATATATTTATAAAGTTTCTCAAGATATGTTATGGTAGATGCAAAACAAAATAAACAGGCTCAGTTATGGTAAAGATTGACTTTGTCAGGAAAGATTCTAGCCCAGGTCATGACTACCTGCCATAAACTGCTTTTACTTAAAAAGTTTTAATTTCAAACCATCCTTTGTGGTTACTTCAGGTCAGCGTGGCTTAGTTGGTTGAACTTTATCCCATGCATCAGGAGGTGAGGGCAACTGCCCGGTTTCAAATTCAATTCCAGTAGGAGGGCAGGCGGTAGGCAGCTAATCTCTCTCTCTCTCTCTCTCTCTCTCTCTCTCTCTCTCTCTCCCCCCCCCCCTCTCCCTCTCCCTCTGTCTCCCTCTGTCTCTCTCTCCCCTCCCTTTTCGTTCCTCTCTCTGAAATAAAAACAAGTAATAAATAATCAAGCATCTTTATAAAGAACAACAAAAAAACCCTCCCAACTGTTGGCCAGCTATCAGGGAGTTGCTAGAGATAAAGAAGAATGTGTGAGCAGTAACTCCCTACGACTTCCCTCCTCAGGACTTTATTTCAGGAAACATACTGGTGGGGCCACTGCTCCATTCACTTGTCCTGCCTCAGCCTCTGTGGACCCCACTGCGGGTCATGTGTGTGCTCCTCGGCTCCCTCCAGCTCAGCCCAGCACCAAACCTACCTACTTTCCTCTGTGTCCAACACAGATCCTTCAACGAGTGATTCTAAGTGAATGTACTGGTTCCTCCACGCCTGCAAAGAGAGGAGAGTCATTACTAAATCATATTAAGTCATGAAATTTAAATGCCTATGTGAGTAAAATAAATTGAGTGAACAAGATTTAATTATTGACCTAAATGACCACAGATAACTGCTGGTGGCTTAGCAATATGAGATGCAGAATGGTGCCAACCACACACAGGACAATAGCACAGCGTCCCCCAGTGGAGCAGTGGGACTCAGAAACAGGACAGCATGTTTTGTGGCAGGAGAAACAAGGGAAACGCAGAATTCATATTTATGTATCTGTTTCTAGGAGGGCTTTTGCTGGAGAAAGCAGCCGCCTTGGCTAAGGGATACGTTTAGACCTCTCAATGCCACATACAAGCAAAACATGGCACAGAAGCTACATGACAAGGATTGTCTAATGAGGATGAGATTTTCAATAAGAATAAAGGGTAAATGGGGACAATTTGGAATTCTTATCTGAAATGGTTAGGTGGGGTTCTAGGCAGAGTGTAAGGGCCTCCAATTCCTATGTGGTTAATTAGTTTGCGGATGCTGTTCTCTTGGTGCCTGCCCAAGTTACCTCCCAAAGTTCCTTACTGAGAATGAAAGCAAGTGTTTTTCTCTGGGTTGACCAGTGAGCCAGCAAATACATAGTGTGTTTAAGGCACAGCCTGGGAATGGGGATCAGTGAGTGTGGGGAATCCAGGAGGTGAGGAGCAACAAATGGGATGGTCCTGGAGACTCATTTCCTGTCCCCTTTCAGTAGCTCACCAGATCGCTAGCTCAGCAGGTACCAGCAAGTAATGGAAAAATAGTCCCCTTTTCCAATGAGATAATTTCTTTCATCCAACAGCTTTCATGTTGGTGGTACAGATGTCCCTGCCTCACCTTCCCTATAAGCGTGATGCATTCCATGCAGGCTCCCTCTCCACAGGACCTGTAGCCAAAGGACACATGGTCCAACTAAGTCTGGCCTAATCCCCTTCTATGGAAGCTTGGGGATTGAGTAAATTCTGTTACATTCTTTTAAATTTTTTAAAAGATTTTTTTTTTAATGTGAGAGATAAGGGAAAGAAGGAGAGAGGAACATCGATATGAGACCAAAACATCCCTTGCATGCCTTCTCCCGGGGATGGAGCCTGCAACCCAGGCATGTGCCCTGACCATGAATCCAACTGACAACCTTGTGGTGTACGGGAGAACATACAAGCCACAGAGCCACTCTGGCCAGGGCTCTGTTATTCTGATTGGAAGTTTCCCCCAAACACTATATTGACACATTTGTCCTCTTCATATGCTGGGTTCAAGGAATTTTATGCCCACAAACATCTATAGGTTGTTAGCGTGGCTGATAATATACAGAGGAAGACTTGGAGCCTGGGGTTAAGTTCCAACCTTACAAGGGCATCATTTGTTAATATATGAACAAGCTCAAAGGGTCTCAAGTCTGTCTCACTGAACCCCTGTATCACAGTGTATTAGGCCTCAGTTTTTCCCCATATGAACCTGTCTACATGATTATATGGAATTGCTTGTATATACATAGACTCTGGAAAGATACACAAAGACTGTGGTGATGCTAGGTGTTTTGGGTGAAGAAATTGGATGGCTGTTGGACAGAAGTGGAAGAGTGACTTCTGTACTTTTTGCATTTTTCTTATTTAAAAATTGTGGTAAAATGCACATACCATAAAATTGACCATCTTAACCTTTTAAGAATATATTTTTATTGATTTCAGAGAGGAATGGAGAGGAAGAGAGAGAGAGAGAAGAGAGAGAGAGGAAACATCAATAAGAAAGATGAGAATGAGGTAACAACAATGAGAAATAATCATGATTGGCTGCCTCCTGCACACCTCCTACTGGGGATTAAGCCTGCAACCTAGGTATGTGCCCTGACTGTAACAAAAGGTATTTGCTACAAAGCTGGAGCACATTCTGGGAAAATGGCCTAGAGCAGCCCTGGGCAAACTATGGCCCGCGGGCCAGATCCGGCCAGTTTGAAATGAATAAAACTAAAAAAAAAAAAAAAAAAAGACCATACCCTTTTATGTAATGATGTTTACTTTGAATTTATATTAGTTCACACAAACACTCCATCCATGCTTTTGTTCCGGCCCTCCGGTCCAGTTTAAGAACCCATTGTGGGCCTCGAGTCAAAAAGTTTGCCCACCCCTGGCCTAGAGACTTCAGAAACAAAAGTATCTAACATAGATTCTTTAGTTGCTTGTGTTGCTATGTTGCAAAATCTTTCATTTCTGCGAACTTAGCAGGGTATGGAATGTAAATATATAAAACTGTATGGGGTTTTTCCAGGCTAATATGCAAACTGTCTCCTCCGGAGTTCGACTGGGAGACCAGAAGTTCAATGGCTCAGTATGATGTGCTCTGATGACCAGGCAGCGCTGGCCCCGCCCCTGCCCAAGTGCCAGTCCACCCAGGCAGCCCTGGCCCCGCCCCCGCC